TTAACCACTCCATTCATAAGAAAGTTCGGTTATTTTTTGCTCATATTTCTTAGCTGTGGGACGTTTTTCTGGGTCTCCATCCCAGCATTCTTCCATGAGCTCTTTCCAGAAACGTGGTGGTTTCTTGAAGTCTTCGACATCTTTTGGACGATGGCCGTCATCAACCAATCTGAAGAAATCGTGCTTGTCTGATAGATTGACATCAGCAAATGCCCTTCGTCCAAACCAAATCTCCCATAGCATTATTCCAAAGCTGTAGATGTCTGCCTTGAAATCATACAGCTCGGAACGGAACACTTCAGGTGCGTTGTATAGATGAGTTCCGGTGTCTATTCCACTGATGATATCCACTTCTTTACAAATGCCAACATCACATATTTTCACTGTATTCTCCTCTGTTAACTTTAATGGCAATTAAAAACTTTAATCATCTATTTGAATGAAGCTATTTCAAATTATTATAATTGATACAAGGTACTTAAGATATAAACCGCACTTTCTACCGATTCACCGGCTGATAAACCTCTTGGAAAAGTTTTTAAACCACCAGTTGCAGCCGCATGGTTTACAAACTTTTCTCGTGTTCTCCTAACATACCAAATGATTTATCTGCCGGTAAACTGATAGAAAGTGTAAGTACAATAATATGAGTGAATCTTGTCAGCGATACAATGTAATAATTAATTTTACTTTATTATGTGATCAAGTCACTGATTCGCATGAAACTCATCAAAACTGCGATAAACCAATCAAACCTCTAGAAACTGTATGAACTCATAGCAAGAATATCGCAGAATAAAAGCAATGGAATGAAGAACCTGAGCACAAATTGTAAAGAAATCTAACCAGAAGTAGCGATATGCAATATGAAGGCACAAACTATTAATTGCTATTAAAGAATACTCCAACTTGGTCATGAAAAACGGATTTTTGTGGCCATAATTGGCCTATCACTGCTATTGCGACCTGATAATCTGCGCGGAAAGATTTTTCAAGTATTTTAGCCTAGGAAGCAGTTTTAATGTTTTCCGGAGGTTTTTCAGCGTAACAAAAGTAATTTGAAGAATTCTAACTATTGAAATTTATTTCAAAAGTTATTTATTTCTAAAGTATTTGTTTGATTATAAAGGCAAATGCACGGTTGAGTCTAGGTTATGTCATAAATGAAACTGTTTCCTGTGACTCTTTATAGTTTAATTGCATTTCATTAACTTATTAGCAAAAGTAAAAAATTAAGTGATAAAACTTGTCCATCCAGTGATTATTTTGTAATTTAAAGGCGGTGTTGTAAAAGGGATACGACCAATCATAGAAAATTTCTAAGCTAATAAATGTTTTATTCTTGATCAACAATTAACTTTGACGACATAAAACACCGTGTTCGATTTTTTTTCTCAGCATAAGGGTAACGCTAACCTATCATCTCTAAACCCTTCCAGCAATATATACAAATTAATCGAATGAAGCCTTACACTGCTGTAAAAAGTAAAATGTTTATAAATCGAGCTTTCGCCGATTAACGGCATCATCGGGGATAAGAAAATATTCCGGGAGCGCCATACATATATATATATAATTATACTTCAAGATTTAGCTTACTTGAAAAAGTTCAAGTAACCTAAATCTTGAAGTATAATTATCCATAGCTCTAGCCCTGCTTTGAGCACTTTTTAGTAGATGATGATCTCATTCCGCCATTTTGGTTATATATATATAACCAAAATGGCGCTTATGTATATATATATATATATATAACCAAAATGGCGCTTATGTATATATATATATATAACAAGTTAAAAGGCCTCGAGCCAACAGTGACGGTGCGCCAAAAGGATTCACAGTCCAAAACTCGATAAATAATAGGAAAAATATTGTAGTACACGAGGACGGACAACTTTGAGCTAAGAAAGACATATACTGAAATAAAAAGTCTAAGAAAGTTTAATAAAAACGTATCGGTCCGAATGAAGGTCTCGGTGCATTTGCGTACTTTGGGGGTTTGGGATAGGGCGTGTCTGAGTGTAAAGGATTTGTGGGAAATGCGTATCGGGATGTTTTCTGTCTTAAAGATGTTGGAGATTCTGTGTAATAGTCGTTCAGAAGGGAGTGGGATCTTGAGGTACGACCATTCTGTGTTGGCTGCTTGAGAGTTTCTCTGGGGGTGCTGTGGGCGTTTTAATTGTTCTATATTGCTCTCTGGGTAACCGTTGAGGCGAAGGATGCCGTCGAATGCGTTTAGGTGTTGTGTTGCAGAAGTATGTGAGGAGCATCTGTCTTCGATGCGTTTTCGCTCGTTGCGGATGAAGTTGAGTTTGGATTTGGTGGGGATAGCTGATTGATAGTGGACGTTAGAGGTTTCTTGGCTGGTTTTTGTAGAATTCGAAGGAGCTGTTGCCATCCTTGGATATGGTGACTTTGAAATCTAGCAATGGTAGTGACATGCCATTGGGTGTTGTCTCTGGTTTTTCAATTTCAAATTTCAGATTAGGGTGTACATTGTTTATTACATGGTGGAAGTGATCTGCTGTGTCTTCATTGGTTGTTTGGATGTAAATATCGTCAACATATCTCTTGTAGGGGCTTGTCATTAGGTGTGATGTGAGCGCGATCCTTTCTAGTTTGTCAATGAACAGGATGGCCAGTATACCTGAGATGTTAGAGCCCATGGGTAGGCCTTCTCTTTGGCGAAAAACTCGATCTCTGAAGGAGAAGTACATGTTATTTAGCGTGAATAAACATATCTACATATCCCGGAATATTTCTTATCCTTGATGATGCCGTTGATTGGCGAAAGCTCGGATTTATAAACATTTTACTTTCTACAGCAGTGTAAGGCTTCATTCGATTAATTTGTAGATATATCAACAATGCTGCTGAAGGACAACATGAACTGATTACCAGACAGACAGACATCTATATTTATACAGGATAGCCCCTTCAGTGTAGTAAACACTGGTATCAACGGGGGTCCTGTTACCCACCCATCCCACCCCAGGGGAGGACATCCATCACACAGTAATCTCGTGCGTGGGAAATTAACGTCTCCTACCCCCAACCCTGCAGGAGACGGGACCTCCATTTATTCGTCCCTATCCGAGAAGACTAGAATATCTAACCATTTCTTGATGTTAAAGAAAGGAAGCATATTCTTCTCAGTTAATTTTAAGACCCTGAGTGTTGGTCCGGCCGGTATTGAACTCTCGACCTCCCGCACAGCAGTCCGGCGCTCTCCCAATTGAGCTAACCAGGCGGCGGTTTTTTTACCTTCCAGCAATGTTAAACCTTTCATGAACATTCAAATTTTTATTGAGCTCTTGGAAACCTACTGAACATTTTCACCAAATTGTCATTTCAAATAACCAATGTGTCAACAAATGGTCTTTAAATGGTGAGAAATGGTAAAAGGGGTCCTCAAGGTCTCCCACCAAATCTGTCCCCTACCCCCACCATATATGTCGACGTTCACAGCTTAACACTGTAGGTTGGTCCTCGAGTGTTGTACCTAATGATGTTTGTAATCAGAACTCTAGAATGTCCTTTTTTCTCTTACCAAGACATTCTCTAGCTTAATGTCTCTGTGGACAACTTCCTTTTTATGTATGTAGTTAAGAGCATTACAGATCTCCGCTATCCACTGGAAAGCTACCCTACTTACACAATCTAAATGGCTAACACCCATATAATCTAAATTTAGATCAGTGGGTTCAAGCCGATTCAAATTATCATCTAAGTCTTCCCAGTAGCTCATTAAATATGTATAAACATTTCGACTAATCAAATCCCTTCCCTTCGGATGGGTAAGGGGAAATCCTTTACCGAATAGTTACGAACTCTTGGTTTGGACGTTCAGGTATTATCGGCTTTGTCGTGTACTTTTGGCACTTCTTCGTCACTATGACCGACAAGGATACAAGTAGAGCTCGCAAAAGAACATATAATAAAATAAGCGATGTACAAAGGTCAAAACTACAAGAATATTATGACGGCGGCATGAAAACATGCAGTTCTGATAATACGGAAAAGATTACTGTGGCAGCCGAGGAAACTGGGCTGACTATTGATCAAGTAAAGGTAAAATATTTCTTAGTTGGACTGAAACGCTACCATGTTTCATGTATGTGGAATACCCTGCCACTTATTTGCATCTCGTTGAATAATAATAGCGATCATTGTGGTGACTGCTTCTTTCTTCAAAGCGCACCGACATATGTAAATGATATTGCGGTATATTGTCCTTCAGAATTATACTTCTGTTACTCTGTGTATTGCACCAACTTATCTTTTAAAGGATTGATTCTTAAACAGAATTTTGCCCGTCATATACCAAGGTCAAGGAAGTTCACTGTACGATTGTGCTATTCATAATGAGGCCTCGTGGTACTGAATTGTTTGCCTTTTTTTTTTTAAATAATTGTTTTTTGCCGTTTTATGCTAAAAATACGCTTGCATTCTGCAGTATAATCAATGATCAAGAATAAACCGGTAAAGGAAGATATGCGTTTACTCGTCTGTTATTATAAATTATAAAGAATAATTATTTTGTGTTACCCTATTGAGATCTAACTTAAGCAACCTTAGTTAAACGTAGGCTAACCCTAGTGCCCTGTAGGCCAACAGAAGAGCTAGTTAGGCTAACCTGAGTGCTCTGAGGCTAACCGGAGCACAAGCTTGGCCAATTGGAGCTGAAAAGTAGGCTAACCTGAAAGGGTTAATAGTAGGTAACCTGATAGCTAACGATCGAATCCTGGCTCGAAGTTTAGGTTACATCCTCAATCTAGAGTGGCTGAATGTTATAATTACATTTATCATCCATTCGACAACCATGTACATACCAAGGAGATCTGCCTTTATTGATTTGTTGCCAGCCAATCATTCTGTTCTGGATTGAATACAATCTATTGATCAAGTAAAGTATACAAGCTCAGAGCTTCTGCGTGCAGCTTGCATGGGTATTAATAGGGTCAGATCCTGCCGGGGGGTTCCCTGTGTTGCTTGTCTGAATTTAAAAACCTACGGTGTCATTATTTTGCCTATATATCTCCACCTTGTTGTTCTTGTCGGAATTTTGGTGAACAAGATCTTAATTTTTTCAGACTTTCATATATATGCTATCGCTACTTTTTGGGCCATGTCCCTTGTAGGAATTTACCCTGGCTGGGCCTCTATAGGGCCAGCAAGGGAAAGAGCGCAAAAAGGGAAGGGTTGCTATTGTAGCTTAAGGCATTTTGAAATACTTTATTTTAATGTGATACATTTATAAAGAAATGGATTGGAAATGCTACACAAAACAAAATATTTGCTCGCAAATAGAATTTTTATGCCTTCTCTCTTTGACCCGGGTTTATTTCACAATCAAGGGGGACTGGGTTTGGGTCAGGGGTCAATGGCCATTACGCTTGGCCCCCTCTGAGGGTTTTTACAAGTCACATTAACTCCCTGGCCATGTGCTCATCATTCGCCTTGATTACTCGGTGTGAGAAGCTGTTTTTTGACTCCCTCCTCCTCCCCCTGATCCGCCCACTTTCTCGTGTTGTATATTTAGTGTTGGTGCGTTTTTCTTGGCCCGCACCTTTACTGGGAAAACACCTTAACGGAATTCATTCTTGTTCTGCTTGTTTCAATAAAAGCAGCTATGGACCTATTGTCCATAGCCATGTTGCTCCAACTTAAGTTTGTTATTTTTTGGTGCCCAGTAAACAGAGCTCAGGCAAGAGCACCATTGGTAGATTTGTTTTGGGCAGAGAGAGAAAGGCATAAAGGAAAAGATAAGTTCTGGAGTACAAGCAGGTCCAAAGCCAATTAAGATTCCAACAGGTTCACGTGGCTCACACTCCAACAACATGTTCTGTTCAGAGTATTTCAGGTCAGGTGAGAGGCCTGATAATATTTTCAAACACTAAGAACAAATTATTTACATGTATTGTAACTATTATAGACCATTGCTAAAATAATTATAGGGTAACATTAGAGGCATTACAATCCTGGGGGTTGGGTTTGCAATTCCTCCCCCCCCCCCCATTTAAAAAAAATTTCAACATTTGTCAGGCAAAATGCTTAGAATTCAGGCAACAGAAGAATCAGTTTTAAGGCAGTTCTACATCAGTTTAACGCTAACACATTGGGAAACTGTGTAATTTTTTCAGGCATGGAGGTCACAGTCCCCCCTCCAAGTCCAAAGGTGCCTGTATGTCTATGGGTATTATTAATAAACCTCTACTAGTCAATTCTTTCTAAGAAATGAATATTGTAGTTTTCTCTCCCAACTGTGTCTGCTGGGTATTAATTTTATTTTGGTGCCAGGATACCAGATTTAAGTCAATAATGGACAGTGGTTTTGTTAAATGTGTCTAAACCCCAGGAGGGGTACTTGCAAGGGTGGGGGTCCGACAGAACTCTATAATGCAACCCAAAAGGGTTTTCATCCTCAGCTTCTTTTAACCTTTAATTGACACCATAATAGAGTTGTTGATTAATTTATTTTCAATTTTAGTCATATCTTTTATTGCTGAGGAAACTGAAAATCATGCAGTGACATTATAATAGTCAAACCAATTCAACTGATATTCAGTGGAAATGAGAACTTTAATTTTTTTTTTTGCTAGATGAGTGCAAGAAATTGTCTTTGCCTCAAAAGAACAAAGAAGCTGCCAAGAATACCGTACTG